GATTTCGAAGAATATTTTTTATGTGTCCGCTTTGGACAACATTGGATATCATTTTATTATTGCTAATGGATTGTTATCTTTTAATTTAAATGGTATTCATTACGGAACTGCAAAATTACATAACAGTTTATATGTTCTAGAAATGGATAAAAAGCAAATACTCAATCTTGAAAATAAGAAAACCAAGCATGGTGATCTGAACCAAAAATTTCTCTAGCATTGTAGGCTAGGTCATGTTAATCAAACTCACATTGCAAAGCTCCATAAAGATGGAATTTTGCACCCATTTGATTTCCAATCTTTTGAGGCATGTGAATCATGCCTTTTAGGCAAAATGACCAAGATCTACAGAACTATTAGGCATCATCCATTATAATATATGTGGACCATTAACAATTCAAGCCACAGGAGGGTGTTCTTACTTTATCACATTTATTGATGACGTTAGTAGATATGGTTATGTCTATTTAATAAGATATAAAATCTAATCTTTTGACAAGTTCAAAGAATTCAGGAATGAAGTACAAAATAAGCTAGGCAAAAGTATTAAAGCCCTTCGATTTGATCGAGGAGGTGAATACTTAAGCGTGGAGTTTGGAGAATACTTTAAAGAATGTGGGATATTTCACAACTCACACCTCCATATACACCTTAGCATAATGGCATATCTGAAAGGGGGAATCAAACCTTGCTTGATATGGTATGATGAGTTTTACTAATCTACTTGAATCATTCTAGGGCATAGCCCTAGAGACTGCAATTCACACACTTAACTGTGTGTCATCCAAATCTGTAAATAAGACTCCATATGAACTGTGGAATGGGCGATAGCCCAAACTGTCTTATTTAAGAATTTGGGGTTGTGATGCTTATGTCAAGAAATTGATATCAAATAAGCTTGCCCCAAAATTTAACAAATGTATATATATGGGGTATCCTAAAGAAATTATATTATACTATTTCTACCATCCAGTCAAGCAAAAAGTCTTTGTTGCTCAAGATAATGTCTTTTTGGATAAAGAATTCCTTCAAAGAAGAACTAGTGAGAGGAAGGTTGAACTCGTTGAAGTTCAGATTCCACAAGATACAACCGATGAGGGACAAGATGATGTATCACCTGAGATAGAGGAACATCGAGAGGAGGTTACTCCACATATTGTGGAAAAAAGTGAACCATCTCAAACTATACAAGAGTTGCATAGGTCTATGAGAGTGCGTTATGAGCTCGAGGGATATGGTTTTCTTGTGACTCAGTATGGTGACATACTGGTTTATCAGGATGACGTTGTATCAGGTCTAGATTTTGCTAAATGGCTAGAAGCCATGAAATCTAAAATAGACTTCATGTACCAAAACCAAGTATGAACTCTGGTGGATCTACTTAAAGGGGTCAAACTCATAGGGTGTAGATGGGTCTTTAAGAAAAAGAGTGACATGGATGGTAACATACATACCCATAAAGCACAACTGGTTGCTAAAGGTTTCAAACAAAAGCATGGTATAGACTATGGTGAAACCTTTTCACCAGTAGCGATGCTAAAGTCTATTTGGATTTTGCTTGCAATAACTGCATACCATGATTACAAGATTTGGCAAATGGATGTCAAAACTGCTTTTCTGAATGGAAACCTTGTAGATGTTGTCTGTATGGCACAACCTGATGATTTCGTTCTTGAAGGAAAAGTAGAAAAGGTATGCAAGTAGTAAAGGTCTATATATGGACTTAAGTAGGCATCAAGGAGTTGGAATATTCATTTTGACGAAGCCATAAAAGAATTTGATTTCATCAAAAACGAAGATGTGCCTTGTGAATATAAGAAGTTCAATGGGAGCGTAGTGGCATTCCGAGTATTGTATGCAAGTTGCAAAGGTCTATATATAGACTTAAGTAGGCATCAAGGAGTTGGAATATTCATTTTGATGAAGCCATAAAAGAATTTGGTTTAATCAAAAACAAAGATGGGCCTTATGAATATAAGGAGTTCAGTGGGAGTGTAGTGGCATTCCTAGTATTGTATGTTGATGACATACTACTATTTGAAAATGATATACCGAACTTGCAGACGGTAAAAACTTGGTTATCCAAGTGCTTCTCCATGAAAGACTTAGGAGAAGCAGCCTACATCATTAGTATTAAGATCTATCGAGATAGATCACGTAGGTTGCTTGGCCTAAGTCAGAGTACATACATTGACAAGGTTCTAAAGAGATTCAACATGGAAGAATCCAAGAAAATGTTTCTTCCTATGTCACATGGTGCTTATCTCTTGAAGGACATGTGTCCTAAAACACCCAAAAAGAGAGATAAGATGAACAGGATTCCATATGCTTCTACTATTGGATCCATCATCTATGCCATGTTATGTACTCAGATTGATGTCTTGTGTGCAACATGTCCATCATCTAGGCATTCTCGGGATTGGAAGTGCCTACCTCCCGCTAATTCACAGGTAGTGGCACTGGGATCAATGGTAGGCGAGTTTGTGTGACTCCTTGGTTGATTTCTTGGTTTTCAATTTCTTCATTGCTGACAGCTGCATTTCTGGTGCTTTTTGTACGTACCATTACTATCGAACGGTGGTTGTGGTGGCTGCGATGACTAAGATTGTCAAGGGGGTGCCCTCCTTCTACTGCAAAAAATATTGTTATAAAATCTGGCATAACTAGAGTGATCCGATTAACTTCAATGGAATGAGAACCAATGGTTGCGTGATTATAAATAATCAGCAAGTGAATTGAAAATAAAGATGCAAGAAGGATTTTTAAGGAGGTTCTACAAGTTAACTCTCAAGCCTATTTCCTCTATTATAAAAATCTCAAATATTCATATGTCTGAGTGAATATTTGGGCCTAGTCTAGACCAGAACAAACCTGAATTAGCCTAGAAAATTGACATCCCTACATTCTATTGATGACCTTCCCTATCGCATCGAAGAATTATCGATCAAATTATTTATAGCTTGCATTATATTTTATGAAACTAAAAGAAGTTGTATATTACAAGTTGCTATGAATTTTACATTATTGCATGAAAGTTTTAATGATATATAGTATTAAAATTTAACTAAAAGAAGTTTGATTTAATTGTTACTTAATTATAATATCCTGGTTCTTTTAATATTCCACTTGTTAGAATATTTCTAACATTCATTGTGTATGTTTAATATGCGATAAACGAATTGATTGGTAACAAAACTGTGATCATAACATGTGAATTGGGCTTTAAACCAAAGATAGGCTTAATGTGATGATTTAGTGTAAGCCTAGTTGTGGGGTATGTGATGGGTAGACGTAGACCCAATAAGAAATGTTTGTAAGCCAAACTGTGATCATAACATGTGAAAGGTTTTCAGTTTGTGAAATCTTATCTTGTGTAAATTGTATGGCTTTTATTACCAGATATGTGATTTAATTTAGGATCGTTTAATTGTATGACTTTTAATTTTTGTGATTTAAAATGATTTTATTATTATGTTTGTGAATACAATAAAGATTGGTTCACAACTCAATCTTTCAAACTTTTTCTTATAATCCTCATATGACAGATCGTAATTGGACAAGCATGATCCATTTGTAAATAATCAATTGAAACTGTCACATCAGGGTTATCATAAAAAGTTTATAAAATTTGGTGGTAAATATAGTATTAACCTTATGAATACGGTGATCAACAACTTGAACTAACAGTTTGTGAATTGAAAGTTATTATTCATTGTCGTCACATGTCTGTCATTTACTTAGCACTACCGTGAGATCACCGAATGATATTATTGTTGGGATGGGCTATTGTATGTGCTAATTAATTGGGCCTGTTAAACATTATTTATGAGGCTCTAATGATATGTTTGGTTAAATTGCTTTTCGTTTTATAGTTAAACGAATTTGCTTTATGCATTTTGTATATAATCTTTTTGGAATATGATTATAATGGGCATGATGATTAATTTCTTGTTAGAAAATTTATAAATTGCCAAAACAATCTATTCATTGATATTTAGGAATTTCTCTGTTTTTTTATTTTATTTTATAAATTACCAGAACAATCTATTCATTTATAATGTGTTATAACTTGCCCAAAAGGGGTCATTGCATATTATATTTTAAAATAAGCATGTATTTGATTAATAAAGACGTAAATATTTAGAAATTTTTCATCCTAAAGGAGATTAATCATCTGAAAAATTGTATGTCTTTTTGTGTGTTTGTGACGTTATAACTTGAGATTTCTTTGAGAATAATGTCATAATGATATATATATTTTTTTTACTTGTTCTTGTTTATGCTCATGATTATGTTATCAATTTAACTAATTTTGTTATTTGTATAGCTCAATGCACATTCACCATTAACAATCAATCATCCACCATTGAGACTTTGACTAGTACCAATTTAAGAGATAGAAGGAAGACGTGGATATTGCCTTTAGCTTGTAGGGCATAATATAGCCCTACATCAAGATCAGCCTTAATTTTAAGCCTACTGCTGCTAGTACTACTGAAGAAAAACAACAATATGAATCTTAGTTTGAAAATAACGAGGACAACAATCAACTGATCATATCATCCACATTACTTCACATTCAGACTTTGATCATTTATGTTAATCATAGAATAATGAAGGGATGTGGGCATATATAGTCTACTCAATAATCATAGTTTCTCAAAATATCAGGTTCTTTTAAAGAACTAATCTCGTTGTAAAATTCAATTACTTACCAATTATACTCTTAATTAAATAACAAAAGATATATTTATAATATACAATGTTAGACTAAACAAGACTCGATAGTCTAGCATTTAACGATATAGTTTGATAGTTTCATTAAAACATGCTAGATAATGTTAGACTATCGTCTTCAGACCATTTTTGTCTTTTTCATTGTCACCAAAGACAATTATGTTAAATTATGTGATTTTATGGCTGACTCTATCCTTTAAACAAAGCCCTAATATTTTGGGAATCAAAATTAGTAAGGATGACTATATATGGGAATATCTCACTTATAAATCAAGCTTTATCATCTACTCATGAACAAAAGCATTCTCTCAGTCTTACATATATAAAGTACATTGATTAGGTTTTCATAAAAAAGCCAGATATCAGTGACCAATTTTAACACTACTACTTAATTGTTCATTGATGCGTACCTAGGGAGGGAGACATTAATTACATCATCAAGACAACAATCTTCCATTATTGTTCAAGTTGAGTTGTGTGACATGTAACTCTTGAGGCAGGAGATTATACCTAATGCCCAGGTTCTCAAATATCCTCTTCAATTCAAGTACCAACTCTGATCGTCGATTGCTCTTTTCCCCATAATTCTGATGGTTCATGGTGTGTTGAACACACAATATCATATTCATCTTGTCCATATTCTCAATTTCCTTCACTACCACTGCGTGTTTTGGGTTCCAGTACTTTGGCTTGCTCTCTATATATCTGCATTCAGCAATAAATTGTAATATTAATCAATGAGCTCTGTCAAGAGATTTATGATTATATTTACATAATTTATCACTTACACTTGTATAGCTTTCTTCATTGCATTAATGTCATCAGCAGGAGTGGAGACATCAATGGTGAAATCAACGCTATCTCCCATTTCAGGGCTTCTCCGGAAATTGCTGATGGGCTTTGTGAGAAGAACGGAGTTGGGGTAGTAAATCTTCTCCATATCATAACGTAAGAACACTGTAGTCAATATGTTCATTTCTTCCACAATCATCTGCATGTACATGAAACATAACAGAAAAAATTATGAACATAATCATTAGGGATGGGAATGGGGTGGGAGGTCTCCTCCATTCCCTACTCCACTTTAGGATTTTGTTTACCATTCTCGACCTCATTCCTCAAATTATTTAACTAGGGCAAGGATGGGGAATCTGCACCAGGTGAGTGCGCTTCCCAAATCTACTCCATTTCCCAATTTAAATTAAATATAAACCCACTCCCAGCACATTAATAATAAATAACATTATAGTGAATTTACCTGTACACCATCAACGACGCAACGATCACCAACATCAAAAGGGTGCATGACAAACACAAAAATGATGGATTCGAAGATGGTTTTGCAAGTGTTTTGAAACATAAATCCCACCAGCAGCAACTGTGATGTAACCACGAATATTACCTTAGTGGTGGCCACTCCCAAAACCAAAAGTGACACCACTATAATTATTACTATCACAATTGCACTAGCCAATTTGTGAAGTTGTTGAACTGCTGTTTTTGTATCATTCAAGGAATGGGCCAAAGATTTGCGCTCAATGTATGCATGTACCTGATAACCAAATGCAAGAATGAAAATTTCATTTCGTTTAAAATACACCATAAATTAGGAATTTATTTTATTTACCCGCCTATGAGTTCTATTAGTATTAAACTCATCTACTTTATCCAGATAATATTGAAAACATCTCCATAATTATTTTAAATCACTCTCTAAAGGGAAAACAAAAAACCTTAAAATATCAAACAGCCCCTAACAAAATATAAAAACTTCCTAGTAGGGGTGTTTTTAATACTTTCTTAACAAAGTGGATGAATATTAAAAACCCTAATAAGGATGTTCTTAATATTTTCTGGACAAAGTATTTGGATTAATACTAAGCGATCTAGTAGCAGAAAATTAAATAAAGCCCATAAATAATTAAAAAGTTAAAATGAATTATGTTGATTCCAATTACCACCCAATTTCGAAAAGAAGACTTAGTGATCCTCCCAGTTTCGAGTGCTCCTTCGAATAAAGGGAAAATAGTATGAACTTCATCTTTCTTTAAGTATCTTAGAAGATCTTCCACTTCTATAAACCTATGTAAAACACCCAAACAAAATGTGACAAATAGTTTAGAAGATGAAATATGAAATATAAAGACTACTTGCTTTCTGTTTTCTATAGTGCCAATAAAGATGCTTTCTTCTCTATTAAAATATTAAAGCTAAAACAAAAGTAGAATATAAACTACCACAAAGCTCGATCTCATTCTGGTTTATTAAATTAAAATTTAAAGATGTTGATCACTTTAATATGTTTCAATGAAGAAATCGCTATCTTTAGTAATAGTTTATTTAAAGTTGGTATTTTTAATTTTGACTTAGAGTTACAAGATGAAAGTTAAAAGTCCATTCATTTGGAATAAAACATTAAAATATTATAGATGCCAAGTTTTAGATTTACATATAATTAAATAATTCTCATGGTTAATTTGAAAGTCTCAGCTTTTCTACATTTTTATTTAAATAAATTATCATGAGGATACTAAACAATCATTTATTTTTAAGATAGGTCCTTAAACAATTACTTATTTTAAAATTGATTGATCAAGTTTTCAATGAATTATCTCATACAGGATTTTAAAGGTGTGTGGGGTTAGGTTAGAGATTAAAAACTAAAAGCTACTAATTTAAAAGAGACGCCTAGCGGCTACCACCACCAGTGTGAATGAATATGATGATCACTAATTGTGCATGCCCATGTTTATTATGATCAAATTAAAGTAGCTATTGAGTAGAGAAACATCATAATAATCAAAACAATTAATGAAACTTACCTGGCACCTGGCTTTGCAACATTCTTGAAGATCCTCTGAGCACTTGTCCTTGCTTCCCATTCACTATGAATCTCCGACTTTGCAGCCTCAAATTCATCCACAGTGTTAGAAATTGTCGACAATCCTGATGATCTCACGTACTTAAGTAGCCTCTTCACATTCCATGCCGTGGCCCTGCTGTGCATGCTCAGTTTCTTTAGCCTCTCCATGTCAATCCTCCTCGACCCGAACTTCTTCGAAAACGTTCTCGTAGCACCGTTTCTCAGCTTGGCCGGCATAGATTTCGACGCATGAAGAGCCCGCAGTCGTGGCGTTTCAATTTCGGTCTCATCCAACGGAGGCCCGGATAAAGTATCAAGAATATAGTGGTGGAAAACCGTCTCCTTCATGCGATCGAAGAAGGTCGCCACATGAAATGAAGAAGCAAGAACTTTAACCAAAACTATTTTTAACAACCAGATTGTGGCGCCAATAAGCACAGCGATAAGAGTGCGAAACACTTTCTTGAGAACGGAATTATGCTTGTGAACATTTGGAAACATAATCATCCAACAAACTAACGCAAATGCTAGCCATGCACAATTTTGAAAGCTCTTGCGCAATCCATAAACAAAATATAAAACCTTTTCTCGTAGCATGAAATTACGCTCAATGATAAAGACGAGCAAGGCTACCAACCATCCGGAAACAAGCCGCCCACAAAAGAGAACCATAACCATGAGGCACCATTTCCATAACTCCAACCCCCATTGAACTTTATGTTTGAATGATTTGAGGGTTAAAGAGCATATCAAACATGTCAAGATGATGAGAAACAAAATGAACTCAATCAAGGCTCTCTTGTTGATCTTTCTTTTCTTTCTTTTGCGTAACTTGGCTTGTCTGTAATCTTCACCATCTTCTTCGCATTCAAAGTTCTTAAACCACTCTTCCTCGTCATCAGATGAGGTGTTATCTTCTGGGTTTAAGGGTTGGATTTCTTCGGATTTGAGAGGGAGAGGATAGTTTTTTTCTGCAAAACGGGATTTGGGTTTGGAAAAGCTGAGGCCCCGAAAGCTCTTGTTTCTTGTTGGGTTTTGGAAAGTCGGATCAGTTGATTCTTGCCTGGTTTTTGTGGTTGGTTCATCTATAAAGAGAACAACTTGATCCGGATTCGGCTTTGCGTTGTCTGAGTTTTGGTTATCCATGAATGAGAGAGCGTGAAACAGAATGAATTTTTTTGCAGAAGAAACTATAATTATAGAGCAGCACTCTGAATTATGAGCATGTGAAAACTGCAAGGAGAAGCTTTTTGAACTTCAGTGTATTCTAGAAACCTTTATGTTATTGGGCAGAATTAGGGGTAGAAATTGGAGGAAACATATTTTCAGGTATATTTTAGGAAACTTGAATTGATTTGCATGCTTTAGTTGAATTAATTTTAGGAAACATTTTGTTCTAAGAAGACACAAGTTTCCCTCGGAGGTTAGCCGAAATCATATATTGGATAGATTTTATGAGAATCTAGAAGAGATGTGAAAATTATCATAAAGGGATTGTCCATTTGATGATTCATCGAGGGAATGATTATATTAATCCAATTGGTAATTTTTACACATGCTTTATTTCAGATAATCTTGAAGGGATTACTTTAGTAAATGGACCCATTAACCAGTACCAAGTGGAGCTAATTGTCAAAATTAGTCTTTGATAAATGGTAATTATATGGTAGTAGTTGATAGTGCTTCTGAAATCATTAACATAAATTAGTCAAAAATTACAGCGCACTTCCACAGGAATTTGCCACCTATACTTGGCCATTAATTATCTGAAGCCATAACAAATGGGGCCTAACCTTTAGCAAAAGTTATGATCCTAATCCATTTTTCTTTGTTAATATACCAACCTATTCTTAGGCTACCACTTTACTTTCATACATTGGCCTATAATGTAAGGTAGCTTCCATACACACACAGATACCCCATTCGATCAATTTCTTTCTGTATATGGACCACAAAAACGATGCTATAATTTCGCAGACAATAATTTGTTTTAATACTATAATGCTCTGTATGTAAGTTTATAATTCTAAATTTTTTGATGAGATATACTTGTTTTAAATATTCATGGAAAAAGACTTAAAGGTAGGTCGAGTTTAATTGTATTTAAGATTTAACTTTGTGATAGTAAGAAGACACAAATACCCCTATATAATGCTGATTTGAAAATAAAAATTAAAAACCCTCATCTAATGTTGACTTGAAAAGAGAAAAAAAAAAATGTTATGTGAACTGTAGATGTTTCACCGCGTGGGAATGTCACCCAGGGACACATGTTTTACACATTCCCGTAGAAAGGAAAAACCATTTGAGTTGTTTTCTTTCTTCTAGGTTGAAGAATGGTAGAATTGCCCCCAAATTTCATTAGTCTTGTATACACATTTGAGAAGAGCTGATGTCATTTGAGGCATGCCTAAGCCGGTGGCCTCGTGCGATTTGCCCATAACATGGCCTCAGGCCGTTTGTGTTCACTTTCAAAAACAGAAAATTAAATTTTCATTTGACACGTGTAAACCCTTTCGCTGGTTTGTTTTTTAAATTAATTTTTTGAAGTGAAATATATCTATGGGAGGAAATTACTCAAATACCCTCTACATAATTAAATGTAATAGGGTTTTTCGTAGTAAACCTCGTGTATTTGGGTTTAATTGCAATTTGCAATTTGAGCAAGATCTTCTATTAAACAACAATCAATAAAAGGTTGTAAACATCATTGTTCTTGGAATCAACTATTAAACAAAGTCATATCCCAACAACCAAATGTTAGTGGAAAAACAAATGTTAACCACATGGAAATAACCTGCCAATTAACGCCAAGCAATGAAAGGGATTGATCCAAAATAAAAAGAAATTGAAACATTTAACTTTATAACTAATAATAACCGATCTTCAATTGTTATGAGTTTTCATGAAGAAATTAAGAAAATGACAGCTACACAACTGACTCAAAGAACTCAAATCTCACATATCTAAATAAAGAAACACAAATAGCAACTTAAGCACAATCTAGAACACATCAAGTTCACACATCCAATTAACCAACACAAAAAATCAATCAAACACTCAAACTCAAGAAACCAAACTAAATTGTTAAGTTCAAATATCAATCGCAGTTAAAAAATAATTCAATAAAAGTAAGACCCAGAAAGGAAACTCAATCAGATCCCAGTAAAGACTTAAACTTTAAAGTAAAACCTAGAGAGAAAGCACAAGAAAGAAGCATAGAAGAGNCATGTGTAAACCCTTTCGCTGGTTTGTTTTTTAAATTAATTTTTTGAAGTGAAATATATCTATGGGAGGAAATTACTCAAATACCCTCTACATAATTAAATGTAATAGGGTTTTTCGTAGTAAACCTCGTGTATTTGGGTTTAATTGCAATTTGCAATTTGAGCAAGATCTTCTATTAAACAACAATCAATAAAAGGTTGTAAACATCATTGTTCTTGGAATCAACTATTAAACAAAGTCATATCCCAACAACCAAATGTTAGTGGAAAAACAAATGTTAACCACATGGAAATAACCTGCCAATTAACGCCAAGCAATGAAAGGGATTGATCCAAAATGAAAAGAAATTGAAACATTTAACTTTATAACTAATAATAACCGATCTTCAACTGTTATGAGTTTTCATGAAGAAATTAAGAAAATGACAGCTACACAACTGACTCAAAGAACTCAAATCTCACATATCTAAATAAAGAAACACAAATAGCAACTTAAGCACAATCTAGAACACATCAAGTTCACACATCCAATTAACCAACACAAAAAATCAATCAAACACTCAAACTCAAGAAACCAAACTAAATTGTTAAGTTCAAATATCAATCGCAGTTAAAAAATAATTCAATAAAAGTAATACCTAGAAAGGAAACTCAATCAGATCCCAGTAAAGACTCAAAATTTAAAGTAAAACCTAGAGAGAAAGCACAAGAAAGAAGCATAGAAGAGCAAAAGCTTACTGGGTTATACACAATGGCGGATCCAGAAATTTTTTTTAGGGTGGGCCAAAATAAAAACTAATTATATATTAATATTTTTGTCCATTAATATTTTTGTTAGGGTGGACCAAAATCCAAAAATTATATATATTAATATTTAAAATAAAAATTGAGAGTGGGTCATGGCCCACCCAAAAGTGGGCTGGATCCGCCCCTGATTATACATTACAGATTACCGATTGGGCACTCACAAATGAAGTTACATTATAGATTAAACTACTTACAAATGAAGTTACAAAATCATCCAATGTCTTAAACAATGAATGAAAAAGAACACAACCATACCGAAAACTCCATTTCCAATCAATTACAAGTTGTGACTCGATAATTGAAGAAACAATTATAAAACCAAAACAAAACCAAAGCATCCAAGAAACAAAACAACATAAAACAAGTAACTTACTTGGTTAACACAAAGAAAAACTTCGACTAAACCTTTGTTGAAATTGAACGAAGTGTGATTCGCTCGATGTTTCAACTGAATAAAAGCTTTAACTAAACCTTCACTAAAATAAAACAAGTGTGATTCCACCGATTTTGCACAATGGAGAGAACGAAGATTGCAGAAGATTGTGTAGATGGAATGGAAGAATGATTGAATTGGGATTTAGGAATCGAAAAACTTAAACCGGGTTTTGCAATTTCAGTGGACTCGTTTGGGCCCCGGGTAGGTCGGACTAACGGATTGTTACTATTCTGCTTGTCAGATTGCAGGTCGCTCTGGATTAACTACTCAAGACGGGTTTAGCTTCGGTCCAGACCGGTGGAGGCCCTGGTTCCCTCTCCGACTAGTCATACCATCTGGGCCGGGCTAGGATTCAGAACATGGGTCTAGATTTTCTCTAAAGAAAATGGTCGGCTACTTGATCCTTGCGTTGATTTTAAAATCACTCATGAGGTTTCAAAAATATTAACTAGATGCTAAATTTAAGTATATTCTTGAATCACCCACAATATTTCATAAACTATTACAGACCACCCTTGTTAGCTAAAACTTAATTTAAAATTAATAAAATATAAAATGTTTGTTATATACCCTTATTGTTATTTACCTCAATTGATCTATGAGAGGAAATTACTCAAATACCCTCTACACAATTAAATTTAATAGGGTTTTTTTTTTTTTGGTAGTAAACCTCGTGTGTTTGCGTTTTTTGTAGTGTCTACTCGCTAGTTTCTTAAATGTAACTCTAACTTCTAACTCTCGTATGTTTGGCCTTTTTTGTAGTGACCACCTGTTGGTTTCAGAATGCAACTCTAACCTCTGTGTATTTGGCCTTTTTTGTAGTAAGCACCTGTTGACTTCATAAATATGATCAATTCAACCATCAAATTATTTAATTTGATGATAACTAAACAATATGTTCCAAGAATGTTAAGCTAGTAAACCTTCGTTTGAGCCTCTGTTTAGGTTGAAAGGAAAATCTTCCAAAAAGGATATCACTATACTTTGTCCGTCTTTAAAAGCTCATGACTTGAATGCATATATATTCATATAGTCTAGGAGATGAAATGGATTTTTCAACTGTTCAAAATTTTGCTATCAAAAGTCCCGGATTTCTCTTTCCCTATTTTTCTAAGAATATATGAGTTCTTTTTATTCACCAAATGATTATGTTTCTGATCTGGTCCAAAATCAAACATGGATTTTATTTACATACCAGAAAAGCAATTTTTAAACCAAATTTGAAAAATTATTTTTCATTTATTTTGGTTTTTATTTTTTATATGTTTTTATTAACTCCAAATGAGAGGTTTTTATTTATTTATTTATTTAAATCAAGTAAAATAAGTAAAGGAAGAGCTATAAAATGAAACCGATTTGCTTGGATTCTATACAGTGTAAATAATTGGTTTTTATTTTTTATATGTTTTTATTAACTCCAAATGAGAGGTTTTTATTTATTTATTTATTTAAATCAAGTAAAATAAGTAAAGGAAGAGCTATAAAATGAAACCGATTTGCTTGGATTCTATACAGTGTAAATAATAAAGGGTTTAGGAAGGAGTTACAAAAATGTTAAAATGCATTTTCTAGAAATAAAGCAGGCTAGCCGACAAACGGCCAACCAAATGGTTGTTGACTCTAACACTCATAGGCCACATAGATCTGACCAACCGTTTGGAAGTCTTCGATGGACTCTAACAGTCACTTTAGTCCCCAAAGGCTAGTTTTTAACATTTCATATAAGCTTCTAAAGACTAAAACTTGCAAAATCATTCAAGAAAACTTCTAAACCCTCATTCAGCTTTCAACTTGTAATTTTTCATAATTCTGACTACAATTTAAATTTGAGTTTAACTATAAACTTGTATATTAATGACAAGAAAAAAAAAAAAGGATTCTGTAACGGTTTTAAATTGTGAAGACTATCATACATTGATCCAATGTCAAGACTTAAAAAACCATGAAGGTATTCTTGAAGTTT